TTCTACAATTTTATACTTCTGTCTATACGTAATGAATTATCACTCGTTCTGGGTTAACAAGCAAACTGTAAGTTTATTTCATTGGCTAGTTTAATCATCCGCCTTTTTACGGTACTATTTATATAAATACGCTTAATTACACATCAGCAATATATAAATTTTTATGTAAATGTTTATCTATTTTATGTAATCCTTTTTCAAATTTCACAAAGAAGAACGCTATAAAGTATTATTGACATAACAGGTGAGATATTTATTGGACCAAATTCAGTATGTTTATAATGAAATAAAAGATGAGAATGAAACCGCTATTATAGAAAGTTATGGGTACAAAGCGAAACGTAACACGATTATTCTCACACGTAAGATATCTGTTACCTTTTCCATAAATTGCAACATGAATTAATCACTATAATCGCTACAAAAATTAAATAATCAGTTTGCTCCACTTTGAAAATATTTAATTTGGCATTATATATATCCTTTTACTAGAAAGTAATATAAAAATATAATTCAATGTGTAATGTAAGCGAACACTTTTTTCTTTGAAGAACATTCGATAGTAGTGGGGAAAAGAGAGCAAATAAATATAAAATATTTATCAGTTCAGTATTTCGTGAAATTGAATATAATTATACTATTTATTTAATCATCCGTAGTTTTTGGCATATCGGCCCTATTTATTGTTGTTGCCCAACTATGGCTGCCACGCTTCCTAAATACATTTTTGCTCATAAATGTTTCTCAAACATATTCGTCGGCATACATTATAACCGAATACTTTGTCGATGAAGAGAAATACTTTTACTTAATCTTGCTTCACATGAACGTAGTCTTTTGCCTAGGAACATTTGCGCTAATAGCTACTGGGACAATGTTCATAGTATATTTTCAGTGTACCTGCGCAATATTTAAAGTCGCCAGGTAAAGATATGAGAAGAAAATAATATAGTTCTAGAGAGTAAATATACAACATCGTTTGTATCGTTTTTTATAAATTTATAGACCGTATTAATAAAACAGAAATGATTGCAGTTATCGCATCGAGCATACAATGGACGTTGATATTGCACGAACAACTAATTTAAAGATTGAAATTATAATCTGTAATAGGATGATTCATGCTGTGGATATTCATCGTAAAGCTATGACGTCGGTATTTATTTTTTAATATGTGTAGTAGATATGTATATTGAGCGTGTGTATGTTTACACGTATACGTATATGTGTAGTAAATATGTAATAACGTTCACTCTTGTTTTTGAAGGCTAACCAAATTTTTACTTTCCACCTTCGATGGATCATTTTGTTGTATGTTGATGTGCATTATAATTTGCTTGAGTCTCAATCTGTTTCAAGTAAGTTTTGTTTTGTTTTCAAACATATTATTTAAATTTCTTGTGCCCTCTTATAATAATAAAATCCAAGAAACTTATAAGATATCCGAAGATATATATTATATATTATATTAGATATATGTTATCGTTAGAATGTCACAAAAATAACAGAGGCCGAATTTCTAGAATTAATGAAATTAAATCCTGATTCGCTTATATAATCAGTAACTACATTTACTACACGAATTAACCTGATTTATATTAACTAATTTTTGCAAAAAGAAAAAATGATCAAGTATAATTTATGTACGGGTATTAGGTTTTGTTTATTTTTTCTTCTTAGTTTTTGCGATTTTGAAATGGATACAAAATAAAAACTAAACGTATGTAAAATAATTCATCTCTATTGCGGGTTTCAGGTTTTTCAGATTATAACGCTCGGAGGTGATGTAGATGAGCTGATTCTACATGCCATATTTATATGCGTTCTACTTCTATATGTATTTATATCTAATTATTTCGCGCAAGAAATTTTAGATCACAACAGTCAAGTATTCGCAACTGTGTAAGAAAATAATAATTTTACTATTATATATGAGCATTTTTGTTTTGCGAAGCGCTCGCAGTCCATTGCAACTTGTTAAGCGAATGTGCAAGTGTTAAACATTAATTGTACGTCTACTGACAATTGTCAATAATTACGATCTTCTTTCATAGATACAATATCCGATGGTATAGCTCTCCTTTATATATACAGAAAATGATACTCTTCTTATTGCAAAGAGGCACGAAACCCTTTACAGTGGATATTGGTGGATTATACTCGGCATCCTTAGAAAGTACGACCACAGTAAGTATAATATATCACACGTTATGTTGTACAAAAATCTCAATCTAATATATTTGAACGAACAACATACAAGGTAAAATGTTTTTTACAGTTGATAAATACCGCCATGTCTTACTTTACCGTTCTATGTTCTACGCAAATATGAAACAAAAGATTATCATTTCGTAATACATAAGAATATACGTAATAAGTCTAAACGGTGACGATATCTTTGACTTCTTCCGTTCATTGGTATAAAACTATGAGATATGTAATATATCTTATTTTATAATATAACGCAGTATAAACGGTTAGCAGACATCTCCTTTGAACGGGGGATGTATAAATTTTTCGAGAATAAACGTGTGAAATGTAAAACAATGTACAATCTAGAATAATATATAAAATACCGATCTATAAGAACGTTGTCTGAGTATTCTGGAAGAAAGCAACAATAAACCTTACAGACGTCTACTGTTTACGATTGCGACAAATCTTCGCTCAAGAGCATCAAGCAATGATACTCCGATTCTTTGGTTTTTGCCTGTTGATGTGTCAACAGAGACGAAATGATTCAATAAGAAGCTTCCAAAACGAGTCCGAGAATCAAGTGTACTTAAAAAAAATAGGAACGGCATAAAATGAGGACGACTTTTCACTTAGACATGTTGTTTCATATCGCTTTCGACTTTCAGGATTTCAATTTGGTAAGTTTTTTGGACTTTGATTTTGAATACTGTTGGAGAGACTCGCGGTGCATTTGTTATTCGAGACATCGAATCGATATCGAATTGTATCACAAAAACAGCAAATCTAAATTAAACAATTTTTTTAAATGTAAATAAGATCTTGTCTCTGTTATTGCTACATGTTTTTCCTCTTTCTTACTTGTGCTTTTGATTTCTCTATATATAATACTGATATAATCTGCTATAATATATAAACATATATAATTTATAAGTTTAGTGCATGGAGAGAGTATATTACTATATGTATGTTCAAATTTATACGCATGATAATACACATTAGAAAAGTGAGAAATTAAATAATGAAATTTGCTAAATCAATAAAAAATTATCTTCTTTATTGTTATGCTTTTAATGATAAATTTTATATTTGTCATTAACAGAGTTTCCGAACGCAGAATGCTTTCTCGATTTTATTCTTAATGTTTTCTCATAATGTTTCTCACATGTTCTTTACAATATCTTCTTTATTCAGTCGCTTATATATCTTATCGTTTTTGATAAATACAGAAATTATTGGCATAACGCCTAGAGTACTCATTACAATATATATCTCTTCTTCAACTGCGCTGAGATACATGCGCATACAAAATAATATATAAATATTCTAAAATATTCAAACTTGAATATGTGGCTAATACAATGATTAATGAGGAAAATTGGACGATAACTTATAGCATCAATATTGTTTCTTTCAAAAAACAGCTGTTAAAAAACTGTGACACATATAAATCTTAACTAAGAAGTTGAGATAATAATTTGAGTTTAACATATAATTCATTAATATTAAGCTTAAATTTGGTGACTTCCAAATTGTTCATTTAATAATTATCTCCGCATATTATAATATAATGTGATAATTTAATATGCGTGTTTCATTTTAAATAGACTAATATATTGTAACGACATGTTAATTTTTTGTTCTTGAATACTTCAGTATTATAATGTTAATTTTAATAACCTAACTATATTAAATTTACAAGATCATTATTATTAATAAATGAAAAGTAAAATAGCAAAATGAACTCTAATAACGTCTATTAAAAAGAATCGGCACAAAATTGGTATAAAAAGAATTGTGAAAATGCCTTAATATTATCATACAAAGTAGACAAAGGTTTATTCGATTTAAGGTTAAAATGCAGAAACATGGTTGCAACATAAATATGGAAAATATTATAAAAAAGAGATACTTTTGATAAAAACGCTATATATAATACACTTAATCAACAATCAATTGATACAGCGTCACATATGACTACCGACTGACCTATTTCTAAGAAGTCTGGCAACTAGTGTTTCCACTACAATGAAGTGTACGAAAACACTGAAGCTATAGAGTAAGGACTATACTCTCACTGTCTATGGTCAAAGGAGTGTACCATGCAGTATTTTTTATGGGAAATAAGCACATGCGTAGAAATTGCGTCGAATCGATCGTTTAATCACCCGCCTCTACCCTAGCAAACGCGTGAAGACACATATGTCCCGATCTCACGA